GTCATGATAGGAGCATAGGGTTGCTGGAATCTTGATATTCAGGGAGTTCTGGGGTTGGACAGAAATCATTCCCTTTGGTGCTAGAAGGTCTTTTGCTATATAGAATCCAGAAGTCTCAGTAACAGATGAAAATAAACCTTCAGTGTTTCTGGAAAGACTATATAGCTTTCAGAAAATTCCAGTGCAGGAGTGTCAAGGCTGATTATCAGTTGTCTGAAATCTGGCTTTAGTGTGAAGGAGGGGGAGAGAAAGGAGAGGTTGAGTGTGAGATATGTCACGGGGCATGTATCTCGGGAGCACTCTTTGTTGTAAGATTCTTCCTCATGTGAGGAGTTGGAGCCTACTGAGACCAGCACTGCACATTCTGCTTAGACACTGTTTCTGGAGAGCATTATCCTCAGTGTGGAATATATTAACTACAGGGAGTAGTTTTGGGGGTGAGTAACTCCAGGGATTTGAGCTCTGGATAAGTGAGACTTACACACTACTCAGGCTGAGTCTGTGGGGTTTCATAGTTTCAGTGTTTCCCTGAATTTAGAGCACCATTGACAGTGGGCCTTATCTTAAATTTAGATGTGAAGATACCGAGTGAGTCGATTACAACGATTCTAGTGTTTTTTTTTTTTTAACTTTTATTTAATGAATATAAATTTCCAAAGTACAGCTTATGGATTACAATGGCTCCCCCCACCCATAATTCCCCTCCCACCCCTCCCCTTTCCCTCTCCCTCCCCCCTTCCATTCACATCAAAAATTCATTTTTCAATTCTCTTTTATATACAGAAGATCAATTTAGCATACTTTAGGGAAAGGATTTTCAGCAGGTTTGCTCCACACAGAACACAAAGTGAAAAATACTGTTTGAGTACTAGTTATAGCATTAAATCACAATGTACAGCACATTAAGGACAGAGATCCTACATGGGGAGTAAGTGCACAGTGACTCCTGTTGTTGACTTAACAAATTGACACTCTTGTTTATGGCATCAGTAATCACCCTAGGCTCTTGTCATGAGTTGCCAAGGCTATGGAGGCCTTTTGAGTTCACCGACTCTGATCATATTCAGACAAGGTCGTAGTCAAAGTGGAAGTTCTCTCCTCCCTTCAGAGAAAGGTACCTCCTTCTTTGATGACCTGTTTTTAAAAAAATTCTTTAGCTTTTACTATTTTTCATGGAGTGTGTTGAATTCTGCTTTATTTTGGTCTGCAGTGGTAGTTTCAGTGTTGGAATTAATTTGTCCATTCCTGTCACAGCAGAGGGTTTGTGGTCGCTAATGCCACAGATTGCTCACCGACTTACCGATGGGTGCATACCCATTGCTGAATGGACACTCGAGCAGCTGGCCTTGCGGGGCTTGAGAGAGAGAAACATTTCAATGACAACTATTGTTTATGCTCCTGTAACAGTTAATATTAAGTACAATTATTAAGTGAATAAAAGAGAAGGGAAGTTTATTTTCCTACATAATTAACAAGGAACTATTGGGAAATTACCCAGTTTTTGCTTTTATTGGTTATGGTTCTTTATTATAAACTCCAGAAAGGCTATCTGACAATTTTTCTGTGGCTTCCTAAAACACACACAGGGAGAGACTGGAGAAAGAAGAACAGTGCAAACTTCAGAAATGAAGAAATGCCTCAATAGTTTGTCCTTCACCTGAGACAACTCTAGATGACACTGTCTGTCCAGGCTCCCGGAGGGCTACAGGGCTTGCATCTCTGTTGTGTTATCAGCTTAAGCATTCTCCTCTTCTGTCACTGCCCCTCGGATACGCCTAAAAACCAATTTCAGTGTTTATTTCTGAATATTCTTCAGGAGGAACCCTGTGTAGCAAGCTGGAGACGCATTCATCTCAAGTTTGTGACCATTCATGTGAGGTTTCTGATGTTCAGGACACAAGTTTGCAGCTTATGGAATGGCTTCAAAAAGTTCATGGAAATATCGCGTTAAAAGGTAATTTAATTTGGTGCAAATAATTTTGAAACCCACACATAGTTTTCTTATAGCACACATTTTACTTGAACTATTTGCAGACCTCTTGTATTTGTGAATGTCATGGGAAACAAGATATTTCATTATATCCTTTATTATGCTCAGTGATCACAGGTTAAATAAAGAAACTATAAATATGTTGCTGTCTGCTAAAACAACCTATTTTATCATTGGATTCAGTTTTTCTCTAGTACTGAAAGCAGTGACTGGAAGTTCAATATGAATAGAAAATAAGTGAGCAGTTTAGTGAGGTAGATGCGATATCCTGTTATTGGCTGTGTTAACTGGCTGTTGCCAAAGAGGAGATGTCCACCAGGTAGGTGAATGTGCAGATTAGAATTACAAAAAAAAAAAAAATCTGCGCTCAGGAAAATCTGTCAGAATGTCTCCATTTCCTCATTCTTTGAATTGCTATTCTTATTTCTTTGTTCCTTAGTGTATAGATGATAGGATTCAAGGCAGGGGTGATAGCAAAATCAGCAATGAACAGGTATTTGTCTATTGATGACTTGGGGAAAGGCCACACATACAGAAACATGCACGGAGTGAAGAAAAGTACGACCACCGTGATGTGAGCTGACAACGTGACGAGTGCCTTGGATAAGTCCCCTGCAGAACGTTTCCAGACGGTGGCCAGAATGAAGACGTAGGAAAGGATTAGCAGGAAGAAGGTGCCCATGCTCATGAAGCCACTGTTGGCAGCAACAACAAACTCAAACTTGGCCCCATCTGTACATGCAAGTTTGATTATCCTAGGAAAGTCACAGTAAAAGCTGTCTACTTTATTAGGCCCACAGAAAGGCAAGTTTATCACAAAAGCAAATTGAGACATCGCATGGACAACTCCAGTTACCCAGCCAATGACTACAAATGAAACACATCTTTTAGGGCTCATGATGTTCAAGTAGTGAAGAGGCTTACAGATTGCAATGTACCTGTCAAATGCCATGGCTATGAGCAGCACCATTTCCACTCCTCCCATGATGTGGATGAAGCATATCTGTGTCATACAGCTTTGGAAGGAGATTACTTTGTATTCACTTAAAAGATCTGAGATCATCTTAGGAACCGTGGTAGAGGAAACCCCAACATCATTTAGGGACAGGTTGGCCAGCAGGAAGTACATAGGAGAATGCAAGTGAGAATCAGCAATGACCAAGAAGACAATGAAGAGATTTCCCAGGATGATCCCCACATAGAGCAAGGAGAATGTCAACGTGAGAAAAACCTTAGTTCCCCAAGAAGTGGAGAGTCCCAGCAACACAAACTCAGAGACCACAGAGTCATTCAGGCCGCCCATTGACTTGTGCACGGGAGTGATTTCAGACCACCTGTGGGTAGAGTGATGAGAACTCAGGATCAATGGTAGAAAATATATCCACCCACCTCCTTTTCACTGCTAATAGGGGATTGCATAGCCTAGAATTTAAGTCATTAGATTGGGTGATAAAAAAGTGGTACAGTTACAGTAGTTAGGAGAATGCTTACATAAAAAGTGATAAAATCTTGAATGTATTAGATGAAGGCAAGTGAGGCTGCTTCCTGTTCTGTTATCAGACTTTTGTCTTTAAGTTTTCTAGAAAATTTCTTCACCAATTATGTGAGTGATGCCTGTCTAATAATTTCAGGAGAAAGAAATTATTTACACATTAATATTCCCCCACTAGTAGGCAAATCTTCTTTAGCTGAATTTATTATTTCAGTGGTAAAATAGAGATTTGTAGGACAAAATTCATTGATACATTACTTCTTAGTCCATCTTGCATGCGTGTCTGTGCCTGAACAATTTCCATGTAGGACAGTCACACGGAGGTTCTTCATGTTTAATTCATGACCATTATTATCGTAGTGATTGAATGAATCTCAGTATTTGGCAAATTATTGATATAAAGCTGAATATCTGTTAGGGAGTAAAAACTGTTAAGCAATCGTGGCATTAGTAGACAACATGTATTAATTGCTTTTTCTGCAGAGCAGACCCAGTAGAGAGATGAAATATCAGAGGCTGAGCTCGTAGGACACCATAATCCATCAACCCTAAATATCACACTATTGTCTTTAAGTGAACCCTGGATTTTTTCAAATATCTTTCAGATTTTTTGTACTTTTGCCAATCAAAGCAACAGTTTTTTTTAAATCTGATTTTGCAGTCACTCCTTTCACTACCCAACTCTCCATGACACCCCAATTTTCATCATGCCTTATTATATAAAGAATTTTGTATTTTGAATATCTTATGCAATGATAACTTTTCAATGATAATTTTCTTTGATATTTTTGCAGGATTTGATCTTGATTATCACGACATGGCTTCTTCCTTTTGCTTTTGCCTGCTGTGAAATCTTTCCCCTTCCCAGCTCTTGCCAATAGAAATTCCATTTGTTCAGGTTGTGGGAAGAATTCTCTCAGTTTGAGAACTGAAAAGCCTTGTCCCAGATCGAGAGTGTGATACTGCATTTTCCACACTGGTTGTTATAATCCCCAACCTGCAAACCTGGGAACTTGTAAGATTGTAGAGGAACATTCCCGTTTGCTAGCATGCAACACTTTACTGTGGGAAGTCCAGAGAGGTCTCAGGAGCTATTAGGGAGAGAAAACTCGTAATCTTCCTTGTAGACAGATCAATGAAATAGTACAGTCAAAACTCTGAACCTAATGGGTAGGTATGAAAAAACTGTTGCAGAAAAAAATCTTAATTGAGTGAATGAAATAAAAGCTAAACGTTGGAGACTCCAGACAGTCTGAATAGACTCACCTGGCAGATGTCACCTCTGAAACCCGTCCTCCGGCTGACAGGTTTCTCTCTGGATTCTGCTGTAAGTGACATGAAGTCCTCTTGGTTGTCTGATGTCAGCTTGTTGGTAGAATTTGTTGTCCTTGGTGTGGAATCCTTTAGAGTGCAGCCTCTGGGCTGGGCACCTGTCCAGCTGTGTTTTAAATAGAGTCCCAAATCTGAACATTATCATACTATGCTCCTGGGGCATCCCTTAACTTTCCACTTCTTCTGAATTGAGACTTCTATTAATAAAGGCCACTTTTCAAAGCTAGATACAAGTTAGTCTGGTAAGATACAATAGAAAATGTTAACAAAAATGTAACAAAATAAAATATTTCTATTCTGTTTGTTACGAGGACATAGGCTTCTATTTGGTCTGCATCTACCATGCCTTAAAATTGAACCATAATATCAGTTCTAGTGCCAGCAGAAGTTAGATGAGCTGTGTAGATGGGCAAGCGACAGCCGGTTCAGTACTGCATGTTGTTACTGTACTCCGTGTTTGTTTTTTAATTTTTCATATATTTTATTATTACTTAAGATTTCAATTTACATGTCAGAATGGCACCTGTCTCTGCAGTAAAGGTGACATCTAACGCATGCATGATTACACAGATCATACTGATTACGTCAGAGCAGTCAGCTTCTCGGTCTTCCTACCATCACTCCAAGCTTGGAGTGTTTGAGCTCTTCCCTTCCGGTCATTCATAAATACATCATGTGTTACTGTCAGCCATCGTTCCCTGTGTGCCGTGAGGCACGAAGGACGATTCCCTCCATGGAACTGTGTTTTGGCGTCTGTCATCCCACCTGCCTCCGCACCCTCCCTAGCCTGGTAATCAGCATTGGGCTTCACATGACTTTTCACTGTGCTCTTTTTTAATTTTTATTTATTTACTTTTTATTTAGTAAATATAAATTTCCAAAGTACAGTTTATAGATTACAATGGCTTCCCCCCTCCATAACTTTCCTCCCACCTGCACCCCTCCCATCTCCCGCTCCCTCTCCCATTCCATTCACATCAAGATTCATTTTCAATTCTCTTTATATACAGAAGATCGATTTAGTATATATTAAGTAAAGATTTCATCAGTTTCCACCCACACAGAAACACAATTCATTGTGCTCTTGACGGTAGGGCCTACTTGAACTTCTGTTTCCTGTGACTCAGAGGAACATTGGAAGTAATCCTCTCACCAGCAGCTCAATTCTGGAGCTATATCGTGTGCTTATCTCCAAGTGATAAAAAGATAAAGGGAGGAGACTTTGTAATGTACTAGTATATTAAAGAAACAGCATGTAAATATAGCATATTTACAAACTCAGACTTATAGCGAGCTCTTCTCCTTTTTGGATTCTCTGAATGGAGCTGATGATAATTTTGTGACCTCTCTCAAAGTCATCACTCCAGGCACCTGAGGAGGCGCACACGGATGGCTGCTGTATCTTGCAGGCCCTCCTGTGCGTGTTGCATCAGTCGCATGGTCATTGTCCATGCAGGACATTCACACACCCGGAGTCCGAGACTCATCAAGTTCCTCTTCTGCTTGCACTTCGTTTCAAATGACAGTCCCTGAATATTCAGTACCATGGCGAGCTTCTCAATGTCTCCAGCAGTACCCAGGCCAGTCTCTGAATCTGACCCAGCCAGATACACGTGGGTCTTCCACGCAGTCTTCACTTTCTGGTACTGTGATGGCTTGGAGTGAACACACGGTTTGGCAGAAGGTGCGCCCAGCTCTGGGAGATGACCGGCACAGGGCTCCGGGCCCTGTGGAGCAGTGGACTGCGGGGAAGTGGACTCGCTGAACGCATTCCTTGCCATCTCAGCAGGCAGCTGGACCCAGGAAGGGGGGATTCAGTGCACCACTGGGAATTTGCAGACAGAAAGATGTTTTTGTTTTCTGTTTTGTGACTTTGGTTGCCTTAGTCCTGTTTAACCTGTAGAAAACTGACCGGGTAACTTCACTGAGGTTTCTGAGCTTGAATGGAGTTATAGAATGGGCCAGCACTTTTGCGATTTTTCCACTGTGGGTGGGTTTTGTTTTGTTACTCTCTCTAAGGAGAAATTTTACTGAGAACCAATGATTGCCCGGTGCTAAGGGAGGCGCCTTCCTCGGAACGCATGATTGGAATCACCAAAAGGGGGATTTCTAGAGTGCTGGCCACCGCCTCAGAGAGAAGGGGCGGGCCCTCTCTCTCAAAAATGTTTTAAAATACATTAGCCACCACTGAACAAGGAATGTACCGAGATGGCTTCCTAGGGAGACAGCTAAGGGATAATAACTTGCACTGAAATACGCTAAATACTTGATTCCATGAGTCAGTTTATTGTAGCTAATTTCTGGAAAATAAGATAAATTTTTGTATTCATTTTTAATAAGTGAATGAAGCTATTTTTAAATAAAAGAAAACCAAGCTGCTGCTGTTACCTGCAAGAACAACAAACTCTGTTACTTTGTACAAATTTGTGAATGTTTTGAGAATAAATACAGTCTAAAAATAGCTATTTACCAAATGCTACCAGGCTCTGCAGAAGCTTGCGTGCCTATAAAATGTTCCTAGGGATGTCACAATATAATTTTTGTAATTAAATATGCCATTTGTAAAAACCCAAATTTCTACCTAGAGTGTAGGGTTTTTTTTTTTAAGCTATAGTTGACTAGTACTTAATTGTTTTATACACCTTCTGACAAAATAGAGTTTATGCTATGATTACTATTTTTGTAGCATTTTTGGTAAATTCTTTTAAGATTTAGTTTACTTGAGAGGCAGGGTTACGGACAGAGAGAGGGAGAGACAGAGAAAGAGGTTTTCCATACGCTTCTTCACTCTGCAAATGGCTACAACAGTCAGAGCTGGGTTGATCCAAGCCAGGAGCCAGGAGCTTCCTCATGCCATCTCCCACTACTTTCTCAGGCACCTTAGCAGGGCTGGATGGGAAGTGGAGCAGCTGGGACTTGAACCAGCGCCGATATGGGATGCTGGCACTGAGGTGGCCACAGTGGCCCCTCATTCACTTCTGAATGAGCAAGGTTTTCAAAATCACACTCAGCTTTGTGTCTTCTCTGTGACGTCTAGATTTTTAAACAAGTAACTCCCAACATTTCTCAGCCTCATTTAAATTTGCAAGGTTAGTCTTTATGAAGAACTTGACAAAATATTTAGAGACCAGGAAAGGAATAATAACAATATTGTTAAGATCAATCAAATTGCCATTCTTATTTCAGAAACTACACGTGTTTAAAGGGACTTACTTTTGTAGCCTTGAGTGGCCTTGATTAAGATATGTGAGACTGGACTTCGTGCTTACTTCTTGTTGTTGTCCAGCACTCCAGACATTTGGTTTGTCTGGCACCAGATTAAGAATCTAGGTAATAATAATTAACAATAACATATTGTAATTTTCTAAATCACTAGAAGAAAGACTTCTGAATGTTCACACTACAAAGAGACTTTGAATATATGAAGTGATGGATGCTAATTATCCTAATATCATCATTAAAATGCACATATCAAAATATTAAATTGTGCTCCATAAATATGTACAATTATTGTTTGTCAATAAAAAAATTAAAAAATTAAAAAAATCCATATGGTATGCCATTTTAATGTACCAAGTCAAAGGAACATTGTCCTTTTATCTCATAGCCTTGACAAGCTATTTATAGTATTAATATTAAGAAATGTAAAAGTTATATAGATCTAGGAGCCCTCATTAGTGTACTACATTAATGATGTAACTTAGGCTTAGTTAGCATGTTAATAACTACTACCAGTTCACTAATATTAGTTTTCAACATAAGTAGCTACAGACATTCTACTGCTGAAGGGACTTTTCAGTGTGCATTGTTGCATGACTATTTCTTTCTTTTCCTTTAATTTAATTTTACTGTGTGGCACACTTCTAATATTCTTTCTTTCTCTTCAGGCCGTGGGGTTTCCAAGGCAGAATCCCCGTGATGAATAGACTGAGGACAATTGGATCACCATGCAGGACGTGGTCACTGTGCACTGGGGTCAGTGCAGTGGCAGGTCTAACTCTGATTCTATCCTATTAACAAGTACATATTCATATGTTGAAAAGCCTCCTTAAGGTCTCTTTTTCTTGTCATTTTTTGGTCAGGTAAGCAATGAGATGAAGTTGAAGTTGATAGTCTATTGAAATGCCATTATAATAAGGAATTTCTGCTTTCCAACTCAAGAAAAGTTTATTTATGTGCCCCAACTTTTGGCACTGAACAAAGGAAACTTCAAATTTTTGTTCCCCACTGATAAATTGTTCTATAGATCTGGAATCTACCTGGATTCCTGGAAATCTTTTTTGTGTCTGGGTCATAGCATGTTCCAGGAGTGACTAGAGACTTGCATGTTGACCACTAAGTATACTGCTCCGGGCAGTGCCTTGAAGGTTTATGAAAACTCACTAAGCTTGGAGCTGGTTTTTCTTCCCTTCACTTTCCAATACTGTTATGTGGGTGAATCTGTTGCTTCCTTATATTTACTCAAAGGATTTTAAAGAGTATTACAGCTTCTACTTTTGGCTTCATATTATATTTTCATGCAAACAAGAGGAAAGCACAAATAGTCCATGTTTCATGGTTGGTGGATGAGCAGGTACAGGGAGTGGAAAGGAAAAGAAGTGGAGTAATATTCTACCAGCCCTTTACTGTTTAACAACTGTTATGGCACGAGTTTTGTTTGATAGCAACAGACATTTTTTTTTAAGTTTTTTTTTTTTTTAATTTATTTGAATGTCAGAGTTACACAAAGAGAGAAGGAGAGGCAGAGAGAGAGAGAGAGAGAGAGAGAGAGAGAGAGAGAGAGAAAGTGCGAGAGCGAGAGAGAGAGAGAGAGAGTGAGTCTTCCATCCGATGGTTCACTCCCCAGATGGATGCAACAGCCGGAGCTGTGCCGATCTGAAGCCAGGAGCCAGGAGCCTCCTCCAGGTCTCCCATGTGGGTGCAGGGGCCCAAGGACTTGGGCCATCTTCTACTGCTTTCCCAGACAACAGCAGAGAGCTGGATTGGAAGAGGAGCAGGCATGTCTCAAACTGGCGCCCATATGGGATGCTGGCACTGCAGGTGGCGGCTTTACCCGCTACACCACAGCGCTGGCTCCAAGCAATAGACTTTTATATGAATTAATTATACTTCAGTACCTTTGTCACTTGGTTCTTTGGAGGTAGAGAGTCATTTGAAGATCAAAAGTCAGTGGATATAAAATTACTGGAGAAATACCTATGTTTTACAGAGGTATTGGCTTGTATGACATCAAAGCTTGTTTGGTGGTCAGAGAATCTTGTTGGATAAGATTAAGTAAGTAAAAAATATATACAGTTAATATTTAACATAAAAATTTCGTGAGTGATAATTTCGTGAGTGATAAATCTTTATTTATTCCATACCTGTAGCATTTATTCAAAAGCATAAAAATGTCTGAATATTACTGAGTGGATCAAAGACTTTAGGGATGCTGAATGTGTTAAAAAAGGAATCACATTTAAAATAAATAAAATTGTCAGAGAGAAGTTCTTAAGTATTCTATGATTAGCTAAAAGTTTCTGATGGAAAGTAGGAAGGAATGTTAAGAAAACAATTTAGAATATTTAGAATATATTTTCCAAGTGACTGACCCAGTTGGTCAGATGTTGTGCATCCCAATTCCTATGAGCTGCTAATGGACTTTTAGCAATTTTGAGGGGTTGCAGAGTTGAAAACATGTTACTTTTTTTTGGTAAATTATGAAAACTCACTAAGCTTGGAGCTGTTATCATTATCTAAAATAAATGAAAAATTAGCATAGGGAAGACTCATTCAAGAAATTAGAGAAAGACAAAAATTTGTGTATACCTTCACAAACATTTTTATCAATTTCAAATAAC